TTCTTCATCTGGAGTAGCAGGTGTCATATATGTTTGTTCTTGTTGTGTTTGTGTTTCTGTACATAAATTGGTGTTTTCGTTGACTCTAGATAAAGCAGTTTCTTGCTTTAAATGGGTAAAACATTTCCTTTTATATTTAGATGGTGAGGATGAAAGCATGTTTTTGGAGGACTCCATGCAATACCAAACGTGTACCGGTGAAAAGCACATATTTGTTCATCCTTTTCAAGATTTCTTTTAAGTCTATTTGCAATAAGTCCATTTTCTTCCCAAATATTATTATCTTTTAATCGCATGACCTAAAAACAATTTTTTAAACAATCATTAAGTGTGTCAGTTAAAGCATTGTTTATAATCTGACTCTTCACGAAAAATGTTTACAAGTTTGAAATACATTGTTGTTATTATTAAAATACAATATTGCAAGGGTAAGATTAATTTAGTGATTATTTATTAAAAGAGTGAGAAATTAATTAAAAGAGCTATTTTTTTTTGTTTAAAGAACTTTGTCTCAAAATCATAAAGTATGTAATTATAAAAATTATATTACAGTCTGCGTAAATTTAAAATACATAATTACCTTTAAGTTGATGAGGTGTTTCTTAACATCAACATCTCCCAGCTGATGAATGTAGAACATTTTGTTTATAATTTTATGTTTTTTGAATGATCCACAATTTCCTTTTGAAAAGCAACAACAGTTTTCATAAAAATATTTGTTTTGTTCCATACTCAACTAAAAACAAGTTCTATTTATGCAGTACCTATTTCTCAATAGCAATGATAAAATATCTACTCTATTTATGCAAATTTTAAAGATCGTTAAAATAAAGTTAAGACATTTTTATGGTAAAGTAAACAACCGCCCACTAACTTGTTTCTCCACAATCGTGATATCAGCGATTCTTCTTCCATTCGATCACCACAAGTTATTTGGTTATGACGTAAATTTAAATAATTCACTTCTGATCATGTATTGTTTTTTATTATTATTTATTTCAATTGTTATGATTTCTATATCATAGTCAGAAACGCTTAAATTATTTCTTAACATTACGTGCAATGTTTTGTGTAATGCTAATTGCTAATTTTGGATGATAGAAATTTTATTGTGAGCGAAAACCTCATCTGTGTGTCCAAAAAAATATCTCTTCGTACTTAATCATTTTTAACAATTTGTACCTTTATTTTTAACTTAATATCTAAAGATCACATGAGTTTTTTTTTAAACTATGTTAGGGTCATCTTATATTGACCATTTAACATGATTATATTTTTACAAAACTCAGCGCCTCTGCCGTAATAGCTCATTTTGTAAGTATACTATAACATTTTTTTCCAATTTCAAGCCTTAATATATTAATAGGCCTTAGGTATCACATAACTTTTTTTGCATTTTTAGACTCAATACCTTTTATAATTTCAAATCCTAAAAGAAAAATTGTGTCCAACAATTCGCCGCTAGAATTAACTCCGATTAAAAATTGACAAAACTGATTGATTTTGTACTTTTGAACTATGACAATTAGCCAACCGCACAGTGTCACGCAACTTTTTTATATTTTTTGGAGAGAGCTTTTGGGTTACGTCTGATATTAACTACAAAAGCTATGTGCAACTTTTTGCCTTGCGAAAAAAATGGGTTCAAAGGTGGCAAAAACTAAATTTCTAAAAATTTTTAAAAAAATCTCAAAAATTTAAGCCCAGATTCCGAGTGAACGAAACATTTAAAAAAATTTTTTTTTTCCCCAACAGGTTTTTTCTATTCTGATCAATATATAAAAAATTCAAGCAATTTGGACGATGTCACATCCATTGACTGCCTGATTCTTACAAAAAATGACTCTTAAGTAAAAAAAAATTCATTTGAAATGCTTAATCTGAGCATATTAGTCAAATCGATGGATCGATTCGGTCAAATGAATGACTGGTCAAAAACTTAAATTTTGAATTATATATATATGTATATATATATATATATATATATATATATATATATATATATATATATATATATATATATATATATATATATATATATATATATATATATATATATATATATATATATATATATATATATATATATATATATATATATATATATGTAATATGTAAAATAAATATATAACAATTTTTATTATTAATTTTTATTAATTAATTAGAGTATAGTTTAAATACAATAATAATTATTAATACAACAAAGTTTATGCATATTTATGTTACCAAGTTTATAAAATCCATAATATAAAATAATCATGATGTAGCAACTATTTATATATTTCTTTAACAAAAATTAAAAAGATATTAGATTCTCAAACAGCATGTTCATTATAATGAACATGCTGTTTGAGAATCTAATATCTTAATTTTGTATCTAATATCTTAATTTTTGTGATTTGTGACGTGATTTAAATGCGCTAGTGACGTGATTTAAATGCGCTATTGGAAGGCATTATGAATTGCGGGAAAATAAATAGCACTTGAGTGCTATTTATTTACCCGCAATTCATAATGCCTAATGATTTAAATCACGTCACTCTACAACTCAATTTACTCAGAAAGTCACGCAATTCAATGTACACTCTGATTGCGAAAAAATTTTTTAATTCTACTAGATTTTTTTGGTAATAATTTAATTTTAACGTAAGGGACAGGTTGTCCCGGGCGGCAGATTTCCAAGGGGCACCAAATAGAATGAAGGTACCTTGGAACAAAGGTCCTTTACCGATAATATAGGAGAATTTCGATAATTAAGAACGCCAATCATGTTGCTGTCCCGGGCGGCGAAACAGTTCTTGGCGGCATTTTATATATAAATATATAAATATATATATATATATATATATATATATATATATATATATATATATATATATATATATAATATATATATATATATATATATATATATATATATATATATATATATATATATATATATATATATATATATATATATATATATATATATATATATATATATATATATATATATATATATATATATATATATATATATATATATATATATATATATATATATATATATATATATACATATATATATAGTTATTTGTTATTATTTAATTTTTTTACAACACTTTTATTTATATACATTCAATAAAAATAGTTTTTAATTATTTTTTAATTATAATGTATTTTTATTTATTTCCATACTTATAATGTTGTGTAGCGCAGGTGGTAAGGCACTAATGGTCTAGTGATCCGGGTTTCAAAACCCACCACCGATAAGTTTTTCATTTTTCAAAATAAATTAAAAAAATGGAAAATCTTACGAATCCTTTAAGATACCCTACAGGATATTCACAGGATTTCTTATGATCTTATAGGATTTGCAAGACAAATAAAATCTTACAAATCCTTTAAGATAACCTATGGGTAATCACAGGATTTCTTATAGTCCTATATGATTTGAAAGACAAATAATATCTTACAAATCCTGTAATATATCCTGTAGGATAGTATAAGATTATATGCGATCCTATAAGACTCATAAGCTGTCTGTAAGTAAGTCGACTAGTGAAGAGGATAAAATGTTGTCTAAAGAACTTAAAATGTTTCTTGCATTGAAGATCAGAGATAACAAAGATGTTCTTCTTGGAAAACTTAGTATGTTTTAATTAGTAAACTATCTGTCTATCTCTCTCTCTATCTCTCTCTCTCTCTCTCTCTCTCTCTCTCTCTATATATATATATATATATATATATATATATATATATATATATATATATATATATATATATATATATATATATATATATATATATATATATATATATATATATATATATATATATATATATATATATATAGCGCCGTGCTGTAACTTTTGGGGGCCCTGTGCGAAAACTAAAAAAAATTTTTTTCTTCATTCAATTCGTAGTAATTTATTATATTGGAGAAGTTTTTCTAATGTATTTAATAGGGGGCTCAGTGCGATTGCACTTGTTGCACTTGCGATAGTACGGCGCTGTATATATATATATATATATATATATATATATATATATATATATATATATATATATATATATATATATATATATATATATATATATTTATATATATATATATATATATATATAAACTTTTGCATTCTACTAGGCAGTAGAAGTATACTTTACACAAATTTTTTATTTATATAATGATTCAGTCAATTTTCTTTTAACATTTTAGGTCCATAGGTCCATGTATTACCATGAAACATAGGAATAGAATTTGGGAAGATATAATATCAAGTTTAAACAGTCTAGGGGCAAAAATTGAAGACATCATTCAGCTACGTAGTAGAGAATGGGATTATTTGCGAAGAGCTACAATTCACAAGTTTTCTAAAAGTCTAAAAACAGGTAATTTTAAAATAAATGTGTCTGTTAGGGCTTTCTAAATAAATTTGTTACACAAAGTTTAATATGATTGTTCTATAAGATTAGTCATTTGTGTTTACAAAATCTAGTCAATAAAACTAAATACATCCTATGAAAAGCTAGTAACATTTTCATAAAACTTTTTTTGTTTATTCTCTATTACAAGCTTACATTGTCATTATGTTGAAGCATGTAATTTATATCAAATAATTTTATTGATTGTTGTCAGAATATTAGAAAATACAGTAAAAATTTAAATTTTTATAATAACTGAAGAAGTCTTGACATCAAAACGTTATTGAATATTAAATTTAATAAAAGGGGTTTTAAGAAAAAAATTTAAAATATTTGTCTTATTTATTATATATATATATATATATATATATATATATATATATATATATATATATATATATATATATATAAAATATATATATATATATATATATATATATATATATATATATATATATATATATATATATATATATATATATATATATATATATATATATATATATATATATGTATATATATATTTGTCAGGTGCTGAGAGAATCCAATTAACAGAATTGGACAATGTTGTTTTAGACATTGTCGATAGAAAATCAATAATACATACATACATACATACATGTGTCAGGAATTGATGTTTCCGATATTAATATCTCGTTTGGTTCAAGTGATGAGGTAATTCCACTCACTCCCAGTCAACCTTCAACATCAAGTAAAGAAATTAGGTCAATTGTCTCCGAACAGTCCTTAACTGCACCTTCTTTTATTTCATCTATATCTGGTATACTTTAATTATTTGAGTCAAGTTGTTTAATAAGATATAAGATTTTAATGTATAATAAAATTTTTAATATTTTACTTGTTGTTGATAAAATGTATAAAATAAATTCTAACTACAAATTAATTATTTACATTAGGTCCAAGATTTGATAAAACAGGCACCTCTTATTTAGACACTTATGCTTTTACTGAATCAATACTTCAAGGTTATATACTTTTTTGATTTGGAAATTTTAATATTTAATTAAATAGATTATTAGAATTTTACAGTAATTAAATTCAATTTTATTTGTAACTAGATTTTTATTTACCTGTTAAATACTAAAATTAAATTTTACAGTTTCACCTAAAAAAAAAATATCACTTGGAGCATTAAAAAGTCTGAAAAGAAAACAATCTCGAGAAAGTCTCTTGGTAGATGGAAATTTTAAAAAATTGAATTTTGGGCTTGGAAAACGAAAAATTACAAAAAGAGAAATCTTTAAGACTTCAGCTTTTGAAATTGGATGTTGCTCTCAGAAAACAGCAAATACGAAAAGAGAAAGCTTTAACCAAAATATTATACGACTGCAACACAGCTAATGAATGATAAATTGCCACTTTCTAACCAACATCACTTTATAAATACAGAAATGGTAATTTAATACATTTTAAAACTAATTTTAAATAATATTCTATATTAAAATTTAAAAGCAGTCTATTATATTTTTTTGTTTTAGGAAGCAATCCTTAAGCAGTAAATTAAAGGGAAGAAAATAAATTACGAATGAAAATAAATTTTTGATTAATTTTTTTATTTTCACATTAAAAAAAAATATTATAACTATAATTAACTTTCATTTTGTTAAAGTATTTAATTGTAACCAGTGAACTCTTTGTGTTGCATTTTCTTATAGAAACAAGACAATAACTAGAATCTTAATTTAATAGTATTTCCTTTATTATTTATTCCCGTGGCCTGCACGAGCACAACAGGGGCCACTTTTAAAGAAACCCTGAAAGGGGATTTTAATTTTAAAGTTTCAAAATTTTTTGAGGATTCAAAATTTAAAGTTATTGTTAGCTATTGGCAGAAGTGCTAAGGTGCATAAGTGCAAATCTTCACAAATGCAAAGCAATTATAATAAAACTGGCATAAGTGCGAATTGGCATAACTGTGACAGTTTTAATTCTTTTATAATAAATGAATAAAATAAAGAAAATGTATCAGCTTTCCTTCCCGAAACCCAACAGTAAATCTATGTATGTACATTTTGCTGCAAGTGTCCCAAGTATCAGCCATTGTATGTACTTTATTTTGTCACAAAATTTAGAAGATTCACGCCTAAGCCAGTTATTGCAACTGCTTTGCACATGTAAAAACTCGCACTTATGTAGATTCGCATTTTTGAAGTTTGCACCTGTTCAGTCTTTCTAATAGTAGATTACTTTAATTAAAAAAAAAAAATGGTATGCTTAAAAAACATTCCAAAGGAGTTTACACATTTAACTGTAACGGTCTAAAGTTCTATAAAAATTTCTTGGGTTTAATAAGAAATTATTCATTTTTGTTTAATTATTTATCATTATATTTTCCTTTTTTTTAGTATTCTTTTTTAGTATTAAGGTTCCTAATGTTTTAAACACAAATTCTTGATCCATGTTTAAAATATAGTTATAGACCTCATGCCCAAGAACAAAGAAGAATATATATTATATGGAGATAACGGTAATAACTTTATTAAAAGTTTCTTTATTCATTTATTTTAAGTAAAGTTATTAAGAAGTTGATTTCGTCTAATAAAAGCTCCATCATTTTGATCTGCTTGAGTTAGATTTTCAGAAGCTTGTTCTTTGTCGCCTTTTTCAAAATCATTACCGTTATCTCGATATCGAAGACATAGATTATGGATAACAAATCCACACATAATGAGCTTAGAGGCATCTTCAACCTTATGCAAGCGAATTCCTGTTTTCAAAGCATAGAACCTGTTTTTGACAATACCAAAACAACGCTCAATTATGCTTTTGGTTTTCCTATGCGCAATGTTGAAACGTTTTTGTGCACTGTCTGGATCACCGGGAAAAGGTGGAATTAGCTGAGTCCGCCAAAATCACAGCACCATTAAAAGGAAGCTCTCCATTTTCGAATTTGTTCCAAAGATTAGAATTTTTTATAACCTAAACAATATCATTTGGAATTAAAATTTAAATTATATTAAGATAAGCCTTATTAGTGCACCATTAGTTGCAAAAATAATTTTTTAGTAGACTTACATGTGCATCATGCCATCTTCCTGGACTGTTCGTCGAAGCATAGTATATGTATGTGTCGGGTCCACTTACTGCAATTGCATTTATGCTATGAACATGTTGGCGATTAATTAAAGAATCTTCGTTATCGTTAGGAGGGTTAGATAGGATTATATGAGAGCCATCTAGAACACCACATACGCAAGGAAAACCTCCAATTTCCATAAACTTTTGTGGAAGAGTTGCGCAATCATTGGGCCATTTTATGATCTCTTGTCGAATCTAATTATAAGAGAAAACAGCTGCTAAAATTCTTTACTAAGCATTATTAATTAACTTACAAATTTAATGAACCAGAAATTTTGTATTAAAACGTTAAACTGTAAAGAGTTTAATTAATATAATATGCTAACATTAAAAATGGCTCCTTTGACCCTGTGAATAATACGATAAATTGTGTTGGTAGAAATTTCATGGCAGTATCTGAGAACATGAAAAAAAACATTTGTGCCAAAAAAATGAAGAAATATCATAATTTGGTGACGTACTGAAATGCTTTGATTTCGCCTTGAATAACGCTGCAAATCATTTTTGAGTTTTATTTCTAAAAAATCTAACACCGGTCTTGGGACTCGATACTGCTCTCGAAAAACATTGTCGGAAATATCTTCGTTAAAGAAGCGAACATTAAACTAAAATATTAAATTAAAAAAAAATTACTATAAAATTACGAATAAGCAAAACAATCTTTTAAAGAAAAGTTCACGCGTTTTAAGCTTTCTAGATGTGCATAGTTGTTCGATCGAAAAACTTATACCTCTCTTCCGATCAACTAGACATGAAAGTTATTAAGTTTTAAATAACAATATTTTATACGCAAACCACTCGAGGCAATCGGTGGTGAAGCTCATTTTCAGCAACTTCTAAATTTTTTCTGAAGAAGACATAGGTCTTCTTCAGAAAAAATTAAATCCATTTAAAATTGTAAGGTTAGATACAGTTTTTTAAAAACCAAATACTAAAATGTTGAAAACTGTCTTGGCATAGAATTGATAGAATTCGCATAACAATTAATAAAAAAATCGTAGTTGTGAGTGACGTATTATTTCCTTATGTTTTATAGCAATGGTCAAAATAAAATCAAACAGCGAGAAAAATTTCGTGTTTACGCTAGGGTTGTTCGCCGAAAAACAAAACTTGCGAAAATTTCGCATCTTTATCTACCGTAATAGAATTGTTATTGCGGAAATTGCACATGCAAAAATGCACATTCCGTAACGCGCTATACGAAAATAAAAATAAATAAAATTCCGTAATAAAGCATTGCGAAAGAAAACTTGCGAAACAAATCATTTCGTTAGAATACTTACGAAATAGTTCCTTACGGAAAAAGCATTCCGGAATGTGCAGTTACGAAAAAGACGCAAAAGATTTTATGTTACGATATATTTAAGATATTAACTGTTAACAGTTTAAATAATAAATAATAAAATTATAAAAAAATGTTGTCAAATGATTCTTCAAATGTTTATACAAATATACCTAATATATATATATATATATATATATATATATATATATATATATATATATATATATATATATATATATATATATATATATATATACATATATATATATATATATATATATATATATATATATATATATATATATATATATATATAAATATATACATATATATATATATATACATATATATATATATATATATAAATATATACATATATATCCCGTTAAGTTGGACTCTCAATGAGTCCAACTTAACGGGACTCATTGAGAGTCCAACTTAACGAGTAGACTCTCAACAGATAAACAGTATGCCTTTCTTTTTAAAAAGTATAAAGAGGATGTGTGATAAACAATTAAATACTTTATTATAAAGAACGAGAGATCTCTCTAAAGGTAAATGATATCAGAAAGAGTAAAAAGAGAAGAAATATATGTGAAACAGCGGGATGTGAACCTGGGTCTACGCGGCCAAATGTTTTAACTGAATGAGCTATACGTTCATTCAACTAAGTGAATAGTAATATTTATTTAATAAATAATTAAGAAACTATATAAAACAGAATTTACAGAAAGAGATACGTATGCAAATAGGATTCTATATATCAGGAAAATGAATAGTAATGTGAACCTTTAGATGCTTATAATTAATATCTGAACTCAAAAACAAGTTACTTTTAATGGAACACAATAGGCTGTAGGAGCCTCAGGGAAATTATATTCAGAAATGGTTATATTAGACTCAGAGTTAGCTAGAAATTATTACAAAGTATTTAGGACAGATGTCTTGTACAAAAAGGAAAAGATTTAAAGCAAAAATGATTTATATTATTTGAAAAAGTTATTTTACGTACATTTCATCATAATTTAAGTAGAACTTAGTAAAGCAAGGGAAACGTATTGAATTAAGCACAATGAACTCAATCTTAAAAGAATAACTAACAGAAGAGAGGTTGTCACTATTGTGAAGGTGACGAAAGATCTGTAATATAGAACATGGAGGTCAAAAAATGCTATCTTAAGTAAAAAGAGTTTGATGAACAAAAGTTACAATGGCTGCGGGATGCGAACCCGGATCTCTGCGGCCAATTATCACGTATCTAACTAATTGAACTATACAATCTTATACTCAAATTTATATCTTGTTAAAATTAAAAAACAATATTTTCTAAGATCTATACTTCGAAAAGCGTATTCAAACAGGACTCTACATACCTTTAAAATCTGCTAGAACTTTAGTAACGTGCACACTTTTAGAAATTATTGAAATAGGTATATTTTATCAGAAATATGCTTAAGCTAAAGCATATTTTTGAGCCTCTTTTTACTATTTGCTTAAGCATATTCAAACCTGTTTCAAAAATTTCATGTGCTTTAAAAAAAAGACATGTATATTCCTACCCATCATTCTTATTTACGTATATTAAATACGTAATGAGTTCAAAAAACATCGTTGTATATATTTATTATGGCACGTTTCGTAAGTTTATTTCCGTTAAGAATTCTTTCGTATGTTGTGATCCGAAATACTTTCGTTTCGAAAGAAATTTTATTTTTTATTAATATTTCTAAAAATAAAACCATAAAAATTTAATAGTTATTATACTGAAAACAAAAATTCATTATAAACATTTTGAAATTTAAAGATGTTAATTTTTACAATTAAAATCAGTCAGTCTGGCAAACAAATTTTCTTTATAGGCTTCAAAACGTCGTTTGGCGAAAATGTTTGTTTCGCAAGAGCGACTTCCGAAACCGCTACTTTCGTATGTTGCAAAATAGTTTTGTTTCGTATGTCAACTTGCGAAATGCTAAATTTCGGAAGTGGCTTTTGCGAAATGAACATCGGCGATTTTAAATGTTTTGTAACATTCGGTACGAAAAAATGTAATTCCGTGTTCTCAATCTCCTTACGAAAGAATGTTGTTTTTCCGGAATTGCACGAAATCCTCCGGTTAACAACCCTAGTTTACGCATTTTTTTTCGTAAAATAATTTACTTAAAAAATTTCGTTTTTACGAAAGAATTTTTAATCGTTATTCAAGCTATCAAGAAAGCTATTCAAGATTTTTTTTTTTTTTTCACTTTACTTTAATGAAGTCAAGAATAAATCTTCTTTTAAAGTGCCAGTCAGTAGAAGTTCAGTTAAATTCTAAAGTTTTAACAACTCTAAAGATAAACAGGCTAAAAGAACACTGCTACCTAAAAGGTTTTATAAAAAACAAACTGGGTGATCAAATTTTTAAATTTTCTGCTTTACTCTAAAACGTAGTGAATAGCTAGTTAAAAAAAATTCTAGAAGCAGTTAATAAGTATACCTCAAAGAGGTTGAATGATTGTATCATTCTGGCTAGAGTATTTTGGCAAAAGTTAGCCTCAGGACTTCAAAAAAGAGAAAAGTATTTTGTGTTTGGTTAATGATGGAATATGATTAGTATTAACTTTCTAATTAAGTTGTTGCAGTTGGAAAGCTTTGAAAAAAACCCATTTAATTTCAACAGATGTATACTTAATTAATTAAACCATATAAAAAATGAAGGTTCGCGCAGTTTAAAAATATTTTGGAAAATTATTGTGCAATTGTTTGTCCAAAAAGTTAAAACTATGGAATATAGTTGAAACCAGCTACAAAATCAAATGGATAACATAAGCAGCAAACTTTACATCAGGTGTGCAAGATGAGTTCTGTTTTAGCTTGATTAAAGTTATAAGGCAGATCATTTAGCTGTGAACTATATATAGCTGTAAACATTATTGAAGTAGATAAAGATATGTTAAAATGAAAAAAAAGTTCGAAAAATGAGGTTCTTTATTTTAGGGATACAATGTAGGTCATTATCGCGGAGGTCTATTCTGTTTAAATACATGATTGTTGATATAAAAATAAAAACCTCCATCTTATGTCTACCAAAGAACACGCTCATAACCTAGATGTTCTATAAGGAAAGTTCACGCAGCAATCTCTATCACATATGATGACTTTTATAGTTATTTTCTATTTTCAATAGTAAATAACAAACTGTATGAATTACTTTCATATATAATGCTTAATTTTTTTGTTACTTATAAATGATAATGTATATTATTGATAAATTAAACAGAAAATGATTTCTAGTTTTTTACTTTTCTTATATTTAATGATAATCATAATTTAATCTATTTTTAACAATGCCTTTTTTTTTGTCAATATATCCACTTTTATTAAAATCGAAGTAGAAGGTTAAATAATTAAAATGAAAAAAAAAAAATGATTATGATTTTCAGAACCAGCATGAAAAACTAATTAAGAAAAATTGGTTAAACTATAAAAAATCTAAAAAAAGACGATTATGGACCCTATAATATAATATAAGTAATTAAAAAATAAAAAATAAAATAAAGTTTTTTGTGTAACTTACGTTACGCAAAAAAATTATTTTTGTTAACTATTTAAATAGTACAAGTTTACGCTTACTTTGCAAACTTTGTTCGCAAAATGCGTAACGCTTTAAAGCAATGCCTATAATGAAGCGTTACACTTAGTTCAACACAACCATTTACGCATGATAATCTGATGAAAAATAAAAACATATCAAGTCAGTCTTTCACTGTTGCGCTTAGAGAACTATTGTCACATGTAGGAAACACACAATTAAAAATTATTGTAACATCTAGTTGGTTTAAAAAACACTCGGAATGCTAAAAGCTCAGAAACACTGGATTGCAACTTTTTTATGAAATATATTCCACGTAAAACATCGTTTTTTTATTTACAGCTGTTTGATAGTAGCGTAGCAAAGCCTTAGCCATGCAAGCCATATATCAGACCCTTTATATGACACCTGGTCTCCTGGTAGTTGTTAAAGTTTAACCAATATCATATAGCCAACCGTAAATGCTTTTTAGAGTTAAGTCGCTAACTAAAGGTTAGAAGTTGTTTGAAAAAGCAAATAATATATGCTTTTTCAAACAGTTTCTAACCATAAGTAAGCGACGAGTTAACAAGTTAATATATGATATAGTTAATATATGATATGATAACGAGTTAATATATAATATATTGAATTTAAATTTATGAACGTAATTTAAAAAAAAATGTTCATTAGGCTGACACAAAGGAATTTCATGCGTCTGGTATGTACCAAAGATTATGATTCAAGACATTCTCTCCAGCATTTCAACGACACCTTCCAATTTGATACTTTGAAAATTTTCAGTTTTTAGCTTTTTGTTGTTTAAATTAAATTTTACAATTTCTAGAAAATGTTTCAATGTTTCTCTTTAAA